ATTAATGAAGTCCTCTTGAGGCAGAAATAGGCATGAAAAAAACTCATGTTCATGCATCAAAAGAGAAAAAAATAAATTCAAGATAAAAACATAATTCATTGCTTTATGTATCCTTCCCTTCTCTAAGAATATATTTTGGTGAATGAAGAAGTAAAAATAAAATAATCATTGACTTACTGGTTTCCGAAGGAAGAAGATCGATAAAGCGCCAACTAAGGGCATATCTCCAATCAATGGTTCCAAGATCACTCGCATTGTACCATGAATCTAAAGTCAAAGAGTGAATCAAAAAATCTCAATGGAAATAATTCTACAGAATCATTTACCTGATGAAGACAGATTATGCATTTACACTCAGTGACTTTTAACTATCTGATTTTAAGTTTCTCTCAAGAATGATCTACAAAGAAAAATTTACTTCAAAGACATTACAAGCTAATACAAACCTTACAATTTTTAAAATATAACATAGAACTTTAGAAAATCATGAAATAAAAAAATACCTGTATACTTTTCACACCAGCTCTGCAAAAATACCGCTTGATCTCCAAATCAATTTCACAATTTCCTACAAAACTAGAAAAGAAAAAGTTTCTATTACATAAATTGAGTATAATTAACTATTGTTTTGATCCAACTAAACCTGAGTAAAATCACAGGAAGCAATGAAGATCAGTTTATAGGCAAACTATAAAAATGGGCCCATCATCCAATTTTAGGTTTGTCCTGTTACTGGAATCAACATTGAAACAATCCTGGGGAAGGAGCCCTGGTGGCGTAGTGGCTGTGGGTTGGGTTGCGATCCGCAAGGTTAGCAGATGGAAACCATCAGCCACTCCATGGGAGAAACACGGGCATTTTCACTCCTTGTAGAGTTATGGTCTCGGAAACTCATGGGCCCTGTCCTGTGGGGTCACTATGAGTCTGCATCAACTCAATAGTATTGAATTTAGTTAGGTTTGGGGGGGGGGGAAGGTATATTATAGCTAATGTAAGAAAATCTTAACTAAACATTGAGGCTAATTTTCAAAAGAAAAAGTGAAAAACGAAGTTGCATACTTTGAAGCAGTCTTTTGTGACATGTAGTTTTCATGTGTCTTATAAACCTCAAGTTACCCAAAATACTTAGAATATATTTTACTCCTAGTAAATTTCATGCCCATATTGTTAACACAAAGAGGCTTGCCATGTTCCAGGGGCTCTAGAATGTCAAAAGTTGAAAACAGCCCGTCAATATACTCAGTGATCAAGTAATTTCACACAATATGAAATAAGCAAGAATATATTATTGAATGCAAAGTTTGCATCTATTTAGAATATATGCGAAATGTCAAAATTTGACATTTGATATATGCTTTGATCCCTATACTTGATTCCCCCAGAGTTTTACTCTTTCTAGAGAAAATGTGGTAAATATTTTATATTTAATCTATAAGCAGACGAATGAAAATGTTAACATAAGGTATCTGGGGTAAAATACCTCCAATATTTAATATCATGGTGGCAAAAGAAATATTTCTATTATTATTCTCATTGAGGACTTTCTATTCACTATATAGCTGGAAGAATCATGAATATTACAAAGTCATCTTAAAATGCTTAACTGATGTATGGAATGTTATAAGAACTGTAAGTACCCCCAATAAAATGATTAAACAAACAAAAAAAAACATTCGTGTTTATTTCATCCTAAGACTTGACTGTTTTATTTCCTGATATCTTTCAATTATTCCTGTTAGAAACACACAACAAAGTGGAATGCAGATTTTTTTGATACATAAATACCTGAGCAGAGTAGTATGCAGATGTTGTTGCTATGATTATTAAAATCTAAAAAAGCCAAATACTGTTTTCAAAATCACACGTAACTTGATTCATTCAAATATTTGCTTAAAATATATGTATGGAATAATTACTAGGCACTTAAGGACAAAGCACTAAACATAAGAAAAATGTTATAATCTTCATGAAGCTTATAAAGGCCCTTCCAGATGTCAGTCTATCTGAAGGCATAAATGCAACTTTCTGTTTGTACATTTTTCATTTTGGACCCATTTGGATTGTCACAATGACATTCTATGCACCTTTTTAAGAGGAAAAAAAATAGTTGGTACCAACACCATACATTTACTATGGTATTTTAGAAACTCAAAGATGACATTATAAAACAAAATGATCCTTAGGATTGAAGATTAAATAAACAACTTCTGAGTTGCTTAGAATCACAAGATTGTCAGCCACTCAACAGTACCTCTATAGTCCTTGGATCTATTAAAAAATGTTGTGTTGAGTGATTTCCACTTACGGTGACTCCACATGACAAAGTAGAACTGCTCCCGAGGGATTCCTAGGCTGCAATCTTTACAAGAGCACATTTTATGGCTTCTTCTCCATGGAGCTGGTAGGTGGTTTTGAGTCTCTGATCTTTTGGTTGGCAGCTAAGCACTTACTCACTGCATAACCAGACTCTTTTACTAAGGCATGAACAAGTTCAAATTAGTAATGGAGGCAAAGAAAAAAAAATAGCTCCCACTCTACCAGGTGTAGTATCAGCTCCTATTCTCCACCTGTTTTAATACCTAGATAATTAAAAACTGATAATTAAAAAAAAAAGGTAAATAACATTTAAGTCTCCAAGAAGAAGACATCAAATGCCACTAAACAAAAAGAAGTATGTTCATCATATCTGCCATCTTGTAGATATAGCTAAGTGACATTGTACATTACTAACCACCACACTAGTACAAACTTACCTAATCTGGAGGTCCAAGATAATCTGCCTTTTGTCTACATTTTCAGTATACACTTTAACACCGTTGATCCTGAGGGGCTGAGACAAGAAATAAATGGTCTAAGTTGGACGGGTGGGGTGGAATATCAAGCCTTGTAATATAACATAGACAGTAAGAGAACAGGCATTAATTAGCATGAGACTGGACACTCAAAGCCTGCTTTCACAATGTGTTAACAGTTTGACTTTAGCAAGCCATTTACCTCTGCTATCCATCTCATGAGGTTATTGTGAAATTAAGCAACATAATGACTACAAAGAACTTAATGCCTCACCTGGTACATAGTAATTATTCAATACATATCAGATATGATTACTATGAAAACGTATGTAATAACATGAACTTTTGCTCTTTTTTAGATGCTTACCTCCATGGTCTCTTACAATATAATTTGATTTCTTTTACATCATCCTTCCTACACTATTTGAAATATAACTTCCTTTATTTCTTTGTCTTATATTTTTAATTTTTTAAGACTTTCACAAACATGACACTTTCAAGCAAATAAAAATAGTAGCTATAATTATAATTTCAATGCATAATATATGATATAGAATCAGAACCAAATGACTGTAGAAAAAGGTAAAGGCAGGTTACAATACACGTTATTTCTCAAGGGCCTGGTTATATCATCATTTCAAAACCTTTTCCTACTTATCAGTTTGCGAGTCCTTTTAAGGAAGGTCTTAATAGCACATACAAACATTAAATAATCAAGATGAAGAAATACTTTGAGTCTCATTCTTTTTAAAAAAAAAATATTTTATTGGGGGCACTTACAGCTCTTATCACAAACAACACATATATCCATTGTGTCAAACACATCTGTACATAAGCTGTCATCATCTTTTTCAAAACATTTTCATTCTACTTAGGCCCCTGGCATCAGCTCCTCATTTTTTCCCTCCCTCCCCCATGTCCCTCTGACAGTTTATAAGTTATAAATTTCTTTTTCCCCTGTCTTACACCAACCACTGTCTCCCTTCACCGACTTGTCTGCTGCCCATCCCCCTGGGAGGGGGACCATACATCGATTATTGTGATTGGTTCCCCCTTACTCCACCCCTTCCCTTACCCTCCTAGTATCGCTACTCCCCAAATTGGTCCTGAGGGGCTTATCTATCCTGGATTCCCTGTGTTGTGAGCTCTTATCTGTAGCAGTATACATGTTCTGGACTAGCTAGATTTGTAAAATAGAATTGGGGTCATGATGGTGGAGAGGAAGCATTAAACAACTAGAGGAAGGTTGTGTGTTTTGTCCGTGTTACACTGCATCCTGACTGGTACATCTCTTCCTTGTAGCCCTTCTGACAGGACATGTCCAACTGACAGTTTCACGCTTGACACATTTAGATGTCACAGGCCAGTGGTTCTCAAGCTTCTGAATGCCGTGACCCTTTAATACAGTTCCTCATGTTGTGGTGACCTCCAACCATAAAATTTTCGTTGCTACTTCCTAACTGTCATTTTGCTACTGTTATGAATCAGGCGACCCCTGTGAAAGGGTTGTTTGACCCCCAAAGGGGTTGCGAATCCACAGGGTGAGAACCGCTGTCATAGACTTTTACCTCTCAACAAGTTTTGCATGAATACTTTCATTTGAAAGTCTATACAATTTCTAGTAACCCAGCTTCCTGGACTTTTTTCTTATAATACTACCTAAAATATGTAAAAGCTGAAACAGAGAAAACTAGCAACAGAGAAAAGAGGAATTGCGAAAGATACCACCAATAAGGCAGAATGTTGCACCGCTGAAAAACATAACTCAGTGTGTTAAGTGAAAATGGGCCATGCATAGCTTAGTACCTTTATTTCAAATGTTTGCATTATCTAACACACCTCCTTCCTCCATTAAAGAGATATCTTAATTGAACGGACAACAAGTAGGTCAATTCCAATCCAGATATCTGAAAAACAATAGAATGTAAATGCTTTGTGGAATATGTCCAGCACATTAAGTGCTAAT